ACCATGTCCGGACCTCTTGCTTCCTCCTCTTATTTTTGTGGTACCATCCTCCCCAGAGGATGGGAAAGAAATTTGAGTCCCCAGGTCCCCAGAGGAACAAATAGTAGACACCCCTCTATTCTCCAAGAGGGACCAAAGGGTCCCCAGCTCTCTCACACAGCCCACCTGTTCCCTTCTCCCACCACCCAGGAATTAGGAACCAAGGTCCCAGCCTTCTTGGGAGCCATAAGTCTGAGACCCCAGTAAAGTTTCAAAGCTCACTGCCTCTTGAGGACCTGGGAGGCTGCATGCAGGCCTAGCCCCACCCAGGAAACCTAGACCTTATATCCCTTTGTGGCTCAGAAGTCCAAGATTCCAGCTCCCCAGGGAACCCAGACACCCCACCCCCCATGCTGCAATCACCCTTCATCAAGAATCAGGGCTTCTACCCCCTCTCCCCCTGGAGGACTAGACATCTAATAGATCCAGTGTCCACTCCCTCGGAGACCAAGATATGTCCCCTTCTAGGAGTCCACATCCTGTGGCTCCCAGAGAAACCAGGAGTCCTGTCCCCCAAACTCTATTCCCCTTCAGGACCTAGGAATCCTGGTGACTAGATGTCACACATCTCTACCGGTAGTCAGAGCCCTCATCCCCTTCAAGCACCCAGGATTCCGAGAGGCGGCCCCCTGCTCTGTTATCTCACAGGCCCAGACATCCCATGCTAGAGTCTGGACCACCCCCATGCCCTCTCCCTCCAACCGGGACTTGGAGTCCGCAGCCGCTGACAGAGTCGGGCAGCCGGGACCCAGGGCACCCCGGTCCTCAACCCACCTCTCACTGCGCGGGCACCTGCGGTGCCAGCACTGCCTCGGCGTCGGCCCGCATCTCGTCGAGCGCCTGCAGCAGGACGCCGTGCGCCGCGCGGTAGCCCAGGCCGCCGGTGGCCGCCGCGCCGCCCGCGGGCCACAGGAAGGAGAGCGCGCCCAGCGCCGCGCCCCCGGCGGTGCCCTCGCCCGCCCACGAGCCCAGCCTCGCCTCGACTTCAGCGCGCGTCACCGGACCCGGGAAGCGCGTCCGCTCGGCCAGCACCCCTGGCGCCAGACCCAGCGCGCGCTCGCGTCGTGCCAGCGCCGCGGGTTCGAGCCCCAGCGCCCGCCGCCACTCCGCCAGCTGACCGCGCAGGAGCGCCACGTCGCACGCCCAGTCCAGCCCTGGTACTGGAGCTGCCGCCGCCGCCAGGCTCGCTAGCAGGGCCGGCCGCCACGCCCCGGCCCGCAGCGCCGCAGCCTTGGTTCGGGCTGCGCGGGGAGACACGGGTGGCAGCGCCAGCAGCAGCGCTCCTGCCTGGGCCGGGGGCAGCGCGCGCCGCAGCCACTCGCACAGCCCGGGGAGTCCGCCCGGCCGCAGCGGGAACACCGGCGGCGGCGCCTCCTCCAGCACCTCCCACGTCTCGTCCTCCGGGCCCAAGGCGGCCGCGTGCTCTGAGTCCCCGCTGCCTGATCTCTTCACGCCCACGCCAACCGGCTGCAAACTCTCGCTGCCTGCTTCTTCTGAACCTTCCCCGCCGCCTGCTTTCTGCGATCCGGGGCCACGTTTCTCCCTTTCCTCACTGCGTGCGTTCTCCACATCCCTTCCGCCGGCGTTTTCTAAGCTCTCGCCGCTGGGCTGCTCCGCTGTTTCCTCTTCTTCCAGAGCCTCCGGATCCTCGCCCTCGCCGTCTGTTCGCACGCAGACCAGCGGCGCATCTGGTAGCACCAAGGGCCGGACCCGGGCCCAGTCCTTCTCAGTGGGGGCCCCAGGGGTGACAAGGATGAGAGCGTCATAGTGGGTTGGGTGGGGGGTGGCAGCAGTGCCCTCGGAGCCCAGAGGCACCGTCCAGAGCACCACGTTGGGGCGCTCTGGGGCCGGGTAGGGCGTGGGCCCCTCGGGCGCCGACGCAGGCACCGCACTTGGGTCTTCAGGATCTAACCCGAGTAGCAAGTCCAGCACAAGGCCCATGTCAGCCCTACCCGCCACGGCCAGGTCCAGACGCGCGCTGCCCAGTCGCTCCAGGCCGGCGCGAACCCACGACAGCGCCGCCTCCAGGCCACCGGTCTCGAAGGCCTCGCGCACAGCCTCCAACTCTGCAGCGCCCAGGACCTCAAAGCCATCCTGAGCGGGTGGCAGGAGCCTGCGGGAACAGGGAGGGATGGGATCAAGAGCAGAAGAGTGGACTAAGTGGTGGGAAGCTGGGCTAGGGGGACAGGATTGGGTTATGAAAAGGGCGAATCTTTCCGAACAAGCAGGAAAGGGAGGGGCCAGACTAATGCCACAGAAAATAGAAACCAGGGACATGAAGAAAAGGGCTTAAAGCAGGGACAGGATGGCTAGATTGAAATCAGGTTTCCAACAGAACCTAAAATGGAGACCTGACAAAGTCTTTCCCGGGCTCACACTCTTTGGGAGCTGGGCTTTCCGAGGGACCTGCTGGATTAAGAAAAGGCTGTACTGGGCGGGGCAAAACTCAGAGAGAGAGGGGCTTGGAGCAAAGGCAGAATTGCGACTGTATTGTGGACTAAACGAAAACTGGGCCCTATTCAACAAGGTCAAGGTCACCAAGGGCACTCTTTTCTGAGTAAGGAGTTGGGTAAAGACCAGTGAAGGGAAAAGCCTCATCTACTAGTTCTCACCAAGAGGGAGGAGAGGCTGCCCTTCCCTGAGCTTCGTTTTGATGTCTATAAAACAAGGCCGCTCGGCGTTGGGGGAGAAAATTCAGCAAGTGGGCACAGAAACGAGAGGGGATTAGAGAAAGGAAGTGGGGGAGGGCACCCAGAAACAACAAAGCTCGCTGAGGATGTGGCTTTCTGGAGACTGGGGTCGCTTGAGAGCCAAGCTGATGGCGGGGAGGAGGGTGAAGACGGGACAGAGTGAGAGCTCCTTCACAGTTTTGCCTGGGGGAAGTATTTGGGCGCGAGGTCCCGGCCTCTCAGAATTCTCGCGAGGAAGCGCGCCTTGCGACCTCAGAGCACTCGCAGGAGGCAGAACCTGGATGACAGGTCGGGACTTCTAGCTGATCCTTGGCTGGGGCCTCTGCAGCGCCTCCGCCTGGCTCCGCAGCGCCGTCCGCAGGCGCTCCAGCTCCTCGCAGCCGTCGCTGCTGCGGCAGTCTGTCGGTACCACGAAGAGAGCCGCAGCTCCCAGCCCAGCGCTGTCCAGCAGGGCCGCTGTCTGGTTCCGGGCCTGAGCTTCGTTCTGTGAGTCCAACAGGACGGAGGTTCCGCACAGCCAGCAGCGGGGTCCCTCGGGCTAGGGCGGCCCGTGCTGCCTCCCCCAGCTCTGGAGCCAAGGGCTCCCCATTCCCCTCCGGTCCGGGCAGCACCAGTACCAGCACGTTGGCCTCCGCTGCCCAGGGCCCCGGCGCTGCGGGTGGACAGCTCAGCTCGCCCAGGAAGAGGCCAGGACCCGCAGCTCTCAAGCTGGGGAGCCCGGAATCCGGCCGTCCGTCGGGGATCTCTACCGTCTCCACATCCTTGTCGCACAGCGCTGCGATCAGCGCAGACTTTCCTGAGCCCGGAGGCCCGAGGAACAAGACCGTCACGTCACCCCGCGGCGTAGGCATAGCGAGCAGACAGCCGGCACACGGGAGAGCGCAGTCAGCAGCCGATCAGCCGATGAGAAGCCCCGCCCCTGGGGTCTGAGAACGGAGGCCGAAGAGGCTAGAAAGCCGTGATTTGGGGACGCCCAGACGCTTTCCGGGGGCTCTAATCTCTTTTTTTTACTTTTCATTCGTGAAAATTGATGATGTATAGAACAAGTACCACTGCTACTATTACTGAATTTTAATATATTTTTCCTTTTTATGTTTTGTGTGTATAATTTAATTTGAAAAATTTCTCTCCATGTTCTTTCCCATCTCTTTGAGGATTAGTTTATTTTCTTGTACTTTTGTAAGAAATCTTTGACTATTGAAGATATACATTGCACATATTTTATTCCTACTATCAACGTCCAAGAGTTCCTTTTTTTCCACATCCTTGTGGACACTTTTAATCTCTTGTCTTTCTGATGATAGACATTCTAATGGATGTGAAATGATACGCCAATGTGGTTTTGACTTTTATTTTCCAGTTGATTATTGATGTCAAACCACTTTTCATGTACATTAGACATTTGTATGTTTTCTTTAGAAGCATATTTATTTAACTCCAGTGTTTATTTTCAATCAGATTTATTAATTGTTTCTCTTTTTTTGTTTTTAATGAGTTGTGTGAATTCTTTACATATTTTTCTTATTAACTCCTTATCAGATATATCATATGCAAATATTGTCTCTCATTTTGTAGGTTGTCCTTTTATTTTGTGGATGGTTCCTTTTCCTGGGAAAAGCTTAGTAGTTGGCTACAGTCTACCATATTTATTTTTGGTTTTATTGCTATTGCGCTTGGTGTCAGACCCAAAAAATCTTCACCAAGTCTAATGTCAAGAAGCTGATGCCTTCTTCTTGTTGCTTTATGGTTTCAGGCCTTATGTTTAAGTCTTTGATCCATTTTAAGTTAATACATGTGTAAGGTGAATTTTTGCATGTGGTTGTCCAGTTTTTCCAAAACCATTTGTTAAATAGACCATTCCTTCCTCATTGTATAATATTGGGGCTCGCTCTTAAATAAATTTTCCTTATAAGTTCTGAGCTATTTATATTGATCCCTCAAATTTCCTAAACATATCACTTGTCTTTTAAGGAGATATTCACTTAATTGTCGCTTAGGGAAACATATCACAAGGTATGAAGGCTAGAAAGAATGTCTAATATTAGGGGAATTTTAAAAATATAAAATATCCTATGCACATAGAACAATAAATAAAAAGTCTTCTGTCTCTTGACATCAACCATACTTCAAGATAGTTACTTATAAATTGAAAAGAAGCCACAATACTTTGTACATATTATAGTTGATTTTTGTATAGGAAGTATTGTAAATTTCCATTTACTTAATATGCCTCTGTCTCAACCCACCTACAACGAATATCCAGAAAAATGCTAAGTAAGCACTGAATTTATAGACAAGAAATTGTTCATCTACATAAGCAAAGAAAAATGCAGCAGGTAGAAAAAAATGAAGTCTTGTGATTTCTAAATGTTTACCTTTCATAGTTTTGGACTTTAGGACCCATAAGTCATTCTTAGAAGAAGAATAAAATTACATGAATTCAATGCCATGATCTTATAATCATATAAATTAAGTTGTAACTGAGCAAAGTTTGAGTGAAAGGTGCCTGGTGATTGGAAGACGGTGATTTATAGAGCCTTGAATATTTCCAGTGAGTTCAGTGATGGACTTTACCCTAGGAAAGTGGTGTCTTAGGGGAGATCCTGAAGAAGCAGCAGCACGATTGCTGCAAGAGGGAGAGTCCAGTTGAGTGAGTAAAACGTGCCACACATGTGGGGGGAAGCACACGGCGAGTACATGGTGATGTGGTGATGAGACGGTCTAGTAATGCTTTGACAGGAGAAGCGAACAAGAAGATAAGAGAGTGCCAATCCATACAATGTTTCTAGCTCAGAATGAGTGATTTATTTTATATTCTTAAATCAGGGTGAATAGGCTAATCTATTTTAGGAAGGAAAGAAACATGTTCTGATGGACAGTGTAAAATGTCCACTCTGATTGTGGCGTGTGGGCATCATTGGATGTTATCTTGAGGGAAGGGGCTCAGATCTTTGAAGGGCATCACTGTGGTATCTAAAAATGGACATGTGCAGCTTACATTCTGATATTGTCTAAAGAGATGAAAATATGTTGATGCATTTGAAAAGAATTTTTTAGCAAAAAAATGAGAATTTTGATAGATTGACTGTGAATTGTGATGGATTAGGGGATGGCAGGGAAAGTTCTAAGGTGCCAGACTCCCCAGCTTACATAATGGAGAGTCACTGTATCATATAGTTTTTTTTTCTCTTGAGTTTTGTTGAAATAATGTTGACTTTGGTTTTCTACATTTAAAGGTCCATACTTCAAGCCTCTTTTCTCAAGGAAGTAATGAGATAGCAAGTAGGTATTTTAAATAGAATTCAGTACATAGTATTTCAAAGGAACACATAAACACAAACTTAATATTGAAAATATAAATGGTAACATTTATCTTAGTAAGTTTACACCGCACAGAAGAAGGTTCAAGCAAACAAATAAGATGTTTACAAATACTTTTCTAAGTCAGGAAGTTGCTTAAATACTTATAAAAATGATCTTTATATATATTGTCATTTTGGTTCATCAAATTACATGTATAAGTGTATTGTCAAGATTTAGAGAACAAATTGTAAGTAAATGCTGTTCTCTTCATAAAAATATCTCCCATCTCTTTTACATTCTGTGAAATTTTATTAAGTACTCTTCAAGTTTTATAATCAAAATAAAATGAAATATTATTTTACTTCCATTTCAACTTTTCTCATGGGTTTTCTAAAAGTTGCTCACATTTCCCTTTTGCTTTATACCGTTACACTGTTTCATAAAGATCACCAGCATCATAAATTCTGATTATATGATAATCAGCTTTAATACAAATCTGCCAAGAGGAAATGTGATACATAGTATCAAGTTTGCCCTTTTCCAATGAAACCAACTTTATTGCCATTTTTGAAAGTAAGCACAAAGTGTTTATGTAAGTGTAAAAATGGGATGAAGATGAATAAATGGAATAGGTAACCTTTTATATATATCTTTCAATTGTATTTGCAGTAAGTGACACATTTTTTTCCATTATGAATAACTCAAACTACCCACAGCTCCTGGCTTGTCCTAGCCACAAAAATAAACAAACAAACAAATAAAAGTCAGTTAGTATTTTGGGATAAGTGATGTGATGAATCAAGGAAGATTTAGATACACATTCTGTGCCAAGAAGTTGGATTTGGAAAGATTACTGCCATTAACAGAATAAGAGAATCTGTCTTCAGTTGTGAGGGTTTAAGAACATGCCACCCCAAAATATGTTGCTGTGGCGTAAGTGACTATTTTGATCAGAAAGCACTTGAGAAACAGCAGATGTAGTAAGGGCTCCATGACTTCCCTTTTCTACG